GTTACCTCACAAAACAAACCTCCCTTTTAACTACATGGAGTAGCCTAAATAATTTTACCAATAGTCTTCTTTACATTTGGACTTCCTCTTTGATGGCTATGTAACTTCCCCCCTTCTCTCCAAATTCAGTGATTGTTTGTTAATTTCTCATGCTGTCTAAACCTCCTTCATGTGCCATCAGCAAGTCCACCCCTTCATTTCACCTTAGATGAGAGATGTCCAAGTAGTTACAATGTCAGATGCTCAACATCTAGTCTATCTACCTGTATTCTACCTTTATTCTGTAAGTTCTATGAGCAGATCTTAATTCTGTTATAAAAAGCTCATTTGATATCTAATAATCACCACTTCTATGTTGAAGGCAAGTTTATCTAGTTATGTCTACACCAAGATCTAGTCTTCTTGCTTTGCTTTCTTTTCAGGGATCAACTAGTAATAAGTGGATTGAGTATTTCTGTTAGTGTTTAGTGTTTTCTGATTCTCCTATAACTTACTTTGCACTACTGAAAAAAGTGCCTCTATCTGCTTATTGTTATGGATTGAAACACAATGGAAAAAGGTAGGAGGTATTATCAGAAATTTAGAAGATTATCGGGAGACCTATGTAAAGAAATAAAATGTAAACATATTAACAACAAAATTATGAAACAAAAGTGCAAATGCTACCTCAAAACAGCAGATGATAAAATGTGCAGAGGCTACCTACTTGTTATTACTTTCAGAGGTTTTGGTAAGCACCAACTATTGCTATAGTGGCAAGGAGGCAATGTTTCATCTGGGTAGAATCCAGATTAAGGGAAAAGAAAGGACACAAAGTTACAGATCTGACAAAATACCAAGTGTATACACAGTAGAGCAAATGTGTAAAGCAAACACCATTAGGGTAAATGTGAGCAGAGGTGTGAAAAGGAAATAACTGTGGCTAAGGACAAAATATTTCTACTTCCATCCATAATTTTAGTACTGACAAAATGGCTAAAAAAAGAAAACAGAATACTCTTTTATACATTCAAGTAAGAAAGTATAAATCCACCAAATATAAATCTTACACTAATTATATTAATTAATGAAATATTACTTACTTTTTGGAATCTTATCGTGGGTGCTGAACTGGATAGGATACAAGTAATATAGTTTTTGGTTTTGTTTTGTTTTGTTTTGTTTTTTCCAAGACAGGGTTTCTCTGTGTAGCTTTGCGCCTTTCCTGGGACTCACTTGGTAGTCCAGGCTGGCCTCGAACTCATAGAGATCCGCCTGCCTCTGCCTCCCAAGTGCTGGGATTAAAGGCGTGAGCTACTACCGCCCGGCTTGTTTGTTTGTTTTAGTTAAAATGCAACTACACAGTAAAAAAATCAAGCCATATATGTTAACAGTGCAGGATTTACTTAAAGCAAATAACTGTACTTTGGGATTTTAATGAATGGCTCTATCATCTTATTAAAACTTTATTGAGAATACTCTATTCTACAAATGTATATTATGATGGATCTCCTTTAGGCTCAGAGGACACTGTGCTGAGCAAAAGTACACTAAGTTTTGGCTCCCCTAGAGGTTATGTTATCCTGATCACAGTCTCCTTATCAATAAATCTGAATCAATATTGGTTATCATACTAAGCAAGAACATATTTGTCTCTATTCTTTACAGCTGGTCAGAAATCTTTGATTAAGACTGGTGAGGTGGCTCAGAGCTTGCTGCCAAGCCTGAAATCCCAAGTTAATACCTAAGACTCACTTTGTAGAAGAGAACTTCTCTCCAAAGTTGTCCTCTGACCTCAACATTCAGGATGTGGTATGTGTGGACCCACATTCATACAACACACACACACACACACAGTCAAGAAACTGCTCAAAGGTGAAGAGCACTTGCTGTTGATGAAGAGGACTTGGGTTCAGTTCCCAGCCTTCACATGGAGGCTCAAACCATCTGTAACTCCAGTTCCAGAAGCTCCAGTGCCCTCTTCTGATATCTGGGGCAATACACATACATAAAGCACATACACACGTGCAGGCAAAACATGCACACACACAAAATCTAAAAATAAACCTAGTATTTTTTGAAAAATTCAATATTTATAACCATCAGATATGATGATACCATATCGTATTTTTACCACATATACTTAATTTTCTTATTTCAGCTCCATAATTTGTTTTCTTAGGGAAGGGCAATGTGGTAAAGATGTGTAGGGACAAAAGTCCATACTAACTACATGATTTGAACACATATTTCTACCAGTTCCTAGCTATGTAATCCTCGACTGTAACCTGTGCATCAGTTCTCTTAACTACAACCAACCAACTTCTGACTGGATGTGAGACTTGCTCCAGAGGATGAAACCCACACTTGGCACTATTATTGGTTCAAGAATCTATGGATGGACAGGTAATGGGCCCTACCCAAAACAGACCAAATCCCATCACATTAATGGGATTTATACATTAAATCCTGCTCCTAATCTGACGTTATTGGCAATTGTCAGCTGTTGGGAAGGAGACCCAGTTCTGTCTAGTAGTGCAGTCCCTGGTAAGTTAACCATACTCCAGTGGAAGATGACACATCCAAGAATATTGTGCAGCATATAAATTTGTCCAAATGGGTTATTTTTCTTTTAAAGGACACAAAGTAGGATGGATAGATGTAGGAAGAGTTTGGGGGTGGAGAATATGACCAAAATGTATTGTATAAACCTCTCAAAGAACAGATGAGAAATTCTAAACAAAAATGATTAAGAAGAGTATAAATAATAGTTAATTTCTCCTCCTTATATACCATGCTCTGGTAATATTTGGATACATGCAGAAGGAAAAAATAATTTCTTGGGTAGATCACTTTTTATCTTAGAAGGAATGAGACAATCTTTTTCCCATTTAGAGCAAAGCCTTATCATTCAGAAGTATGTTGAAGTGTTTCAGCATATACATGCTATTATGCACAATCCTAGGTGATTTTAAGAGAAACAGTGTTAAGAAAATATGATATTAACTCAAAGAGCCACATAAAAGCCTGTATGATGCAGACGAGTGTTTGTAAAAGGGAACCTCTTTTGGGACAAATGGAACAAAAAAAAAAGCCAATCCTCTCCTCTTTCATAAATAAGTAAATAAAATGGAAAATGAGTAAAAATACCTACAGTATAAAAATTAGAAAAGAATTAAATAAAAAGTAAAAAACAAAACAAAAGAGACTGAGTTTTAGTAATCAACAGAGTATAGTCAGATTTGCAGAGATGAAGGAAATAAAGAAAACATACACATAAAAACAGAGAAAACCCAAGCATTGCTGGTAAGACAGACTGGAAGGCAAAGGAGAAGTCACTCTTAAAATGGAAGACACTTCTTCATCCATACAAATTACAAGCCAACAATGAAGAAATAAACATCTCAACATTGTCAAGTCACTGTGCTGCTTACATCCCACACACATGAAGACTATTTATGATCTGTGTATTCAAAAAGCCTTACAAAAGTCATTTTTGGAAATTGGATATGAGAGGCACTTTACACAAATGGTATTTACACACTGGATGATATGGCAAAAATTTAAGGACACCACATGGACTAAAAAGCCAGTATCAAAACTTTAGTAGAGTTGGACAAAGATTTCATATATCTACAATAGGACAAACAGAATACTTAAGAGACTTTAATTTTAATAATTGTTAAATAGTGTGATGATTTGCAAAAGTTGAAATATTATAATCTGCCTAACTATAGGCAGACTCACAGTATTAAGTATTCTGTGTATTCCTGGTTAGGATACAGATTTCAGAGTCTTAAAAATTAACACAATACTCCAAAAAAAGACTGCTGTTAATGCTCAATTTCTAAAACAAGAAAAACTTTGCCACGTCATAAACGAAGATAAAGGAAAAAGAAACCAGTAATCAATGAATATTACCTCAAAGATGGTATAAAATATTTAACTACTAATCTTTTAAGGATAAATATGAACATGGGTCAAGTCGAATATTCTAAAATGTTACTACTGCCCTACAGGTTCCAGCTAGGTCTGGTGGCTCATACAGAAATGCCAGCAGGGCAAGATGAGAACGTCACGCAAGTTTACGTGAAGCCTGGATCACATAGAAGTCCCAGGCCAATCTGGGCTACACAGCAACTCTTGTTTTTTCCTCAATCTTCTCTATAAACATAGAATATTAAATTATAAGTTTAAGTGTACTGAATTGTTCAACTTTCAAGAATGTATCAACTTCCTATGTTCCCTCTTCCAGTAGCATTTTCTTTAAAGCTTTACTTTAGCATTTTCGTTAATGTTAAATTCTAGCAAACAAAATATACACCTTTGAAAATGGCACACACTCATGTCATCAAAGAATATGTCAAAGCACAAAAATGTTCTTGTGTGTTACTAGAGAACTCTGTGCCCTTGGGTGGCACCACTGTAGGGATCCCATGATGCTGTGCAAAGACTCACTGGGTGTGATAAGAGCAAACACCAGTGACCCCTTACTGCATTGCCCCGGACAGTCAAGCTGAAATATTTACTGAAATATTAGTTACTTTCCCCCTGAAGGGATTTAGACACTACGGATGGATAGTTGTTCACAAACATCATCTGGTGAAACCTGCCACCCCAAGACGAATATAGTTTTACATCTTGTTTTAGAATTGTTATGTTATTTATTCTCATAAGACATTAAAGTAGTAATATGCTGGAGAATTGCATTAAATCCTTTTACCTGTATCATATTAAAACTAGAAACTGTTCCTTGAAACAGCAAATGACATAAAAGACAACAGCATTTGCTTTAGAGAGTCTATAAAATGTTGCAGGAAAATAAGAACTTTAATTAAAAAGGGAAAAAAAACATCCAAGCAGACAATAACCATGGAAAATAAATGTTCACTAAAAACTAAAGAATCAAAAAAAAAAAACTAAAAAAATCAATAAATTGTAAGACAAATAAAATGACTGATATGAAATGAAATCCTACGAAAAGCAAAGAGGCAGTGAAGCAAAGTAGTGCCCTTTCTCACCCTGATAAACAGCTGCATCATTTCTTTCTCCTTTTGGGGGTTACGGTACTTCTCATAGAAATCACGGCGCTTCTTTGTTTCTTTTGAGACTTTATCTCTCCTTTCCCGCTTCTCTGCTGGCTCATCCGTGCCATCAGAAGACCACTTGTGCATTTTTGGCTTTTCCACTTCAATATAGTTTTCATTTGGATTCAGGACTATGACTCCATACCCTTCCTGTTTTGAAATTTAAAAAAAAAAAAGTGGTACAAATTGATATCAGAATTTATTGCAATACATGAAGAAAGAAGTTCCTAACATCCTAGGCAAGGTAATTTAACATAGTTTCAAGTTACTAAATATTCTTTTAGCAAAAATTATGTTAAATTTGTAAAATAAAGTTTAAAATTGTTTGCCATATAATAAATATGGACAAATAAGCACAGATTATCTATAAGGATAAAACCAGAGAAAAAGGATGAATTTTAAATGAAAAATACAATCTATTCCCAGTGTGATTAAAATAAATTACTACACAGGGAAATACACTCAAACCACAAATGTGTGTTTTGAGAAAAGTATATCACCTGTGTACCTTGTACCTTACTGTCTTTCCGTACGAAAAGACTAAGAAATCACAGAGCAAAATAAACTAACAGGAAACACTGTTTAATCTTGAAATTTGTTTCATGTCTCAGGTCACAGTAATAGGCTATCTTATTTAAGAATGAGTGCCTGGAGACTGAAATTTCCAAAGTTTAAAATCACAACTTTTTGAGCTATAAGGGCTTTAGATTTCAAACATATATTTTTCCTGACTTCTCACTTCTACAAGGCAAACATTTCTGCAGGTATTAAAATCATCAGACATTTAGGCTGAACTGATGAATTAATCTAAACATTAGAAATACAGCAACCAGTACCAAGTTTGAAGAATGGAAAACATTTAAGCAATTTATGTGTCTTTTCTATTCAATTCTGTATTATGAATGTCCTAATTAAGATCTTGTAAAAAAAAAAAAAACCCTTCAAGGTCATACCTAGAAATGTAATATATTAAGACAAAAATATCAGGAGCACAGAAAATAAAGTTTGTAAATTCTCCATCCTTACTAAAACAAATGTAGTGTTTCAAACTATAACCACAGAATTTTCTACATGAATTTCAGATTTCAACTGCTTTTAAAAACAAAACCAAACATAAGAAGATATGTTTAAAAATACTGACAGTATTAGTTTAAAAAAAAATCAATCTTGACATAGCCCCAAGTTCTTACTTTGAGATATGCTCCACTGGGGTTGTGATTTTTTTTTTTTGTTTTGTCTCAAGAACTAGTTGCAAGTGCCATTGTAATTCTTGCACTTTTATGGCTCGTCAGAGGATACTGTTGACTAAAACCATTGCTGGTTTGGAAATTTCAAGATCATTGAAGTTCTGGTTTTGTGATAGGACTATTAATTAAGATATAATCCTTTTATACACGTGCAAACTGTCTAATAATATATGCCAACATGATGAACAAAATACCACACTATTCAACAGATCCTTCAATGAAACTTTTACATAAATGCCACTTATGAAACACTTAGAAAGTAGTTTTAAGAATTTAAACATTTTACTTCACGGCAAAAGAGATGTCGCATACTTTCTTTTTTAAGTTTGTTAGCTGTTGAGTCAAAGTTTTACCAACAAAAGACATTTTATTTGTGCCCGCTTTATTCTAATCTGTATAGCTATTCAAATGTCTTGTAATTCATTGTGATCTCTGTCAGGTAGACAGATTGTCACTTGGTGATTTTCTACAGTTGGACACACTTGACTAATTATTAAAATCACATTTGAAGGAAGTTCCTAACCCTCTTCCTTGTGTCTTTTACAACTGTTCACGCCCGTCTCAAATTTTACCTATACCTTCTCCTCCCACCAAAGTAAATTAAAGAGCATGGTTACACTCTGCTAAACATGGTGAAATGCAGACATTCAGTACACAGTCTCTGGTGTAAGGAACACAGTCAAAAAAGGTCACCACAGGCCAAAAAGAAAACTGCTTCCCCACTGGATCTGTACTGTGAGTAAGTGGTCTCCTGTCATTTCTTCCCTGCCTTTTCTGACAAATACACGTGCGCGCGCACACACACACACACACACACACACACACACACACACACACACACACACAGAGCTTTTCATACTCCTACACAAGTTAAAAAGCCGAAATAGAATGTTAAATTTCATAACAAGTGCAAAGCATTGGTTACCACAATTTAATAATGATAGGAATATTCAACTTAGGCAACAAAGTGACACTTTAATTATTGATTATATTAGATGATGCTCATATGATAATTAATATAATAATATAACAAGGATTTGCAATGAGGACAACTCTGAGCAAATCTAACAATCACCAGAATTACCAAACTAATATATAACTTAATCACCCAGATATTATCTCGACACCATCAGACCTCTCTGGGCATCTCCGTATCATCAGACCCTATGAACATTTTGACCTCATTTTTGGAAGTCAGACTTAAAAAAAAAAACCTACTTGATTTTAAATGGATTCCAAAATGTGAGATGTCCCATCTAAATAAATATAAACTATATACATACATAATTCATCAAAGAAGTAGTATTTGTCAAAGTTATTGATTATGTTACTGAGAATTACATGACTCATTTATTCAATTTTCTAAAGGTACAATGATAATTTTTCACTGAGGCATCAACAGAAGAAAAATGATATCATTTTAAAATCAAAATGTAAATCAATTAAAGAATTTTAAAAATTTAAACGTCAATAATAAATTCTGAAAGTTAAATTATCTTTAATTACGCAAATTATTTAAAGAATATTTTGTCCTTTCGATATTTCAAATTGTCATTTTAATTAAAATAATAGTGATCACTAATAATCATAAATATTTCCTTCAAAAGTCAGAGTTGCAAATTTAATTACAATTCTGATCATGAAAATACTAGCATTTTGAATTATGATTTTCATAATAAACTGGCACAATGTGCAGGTACAAATGTCAGTTTTTACAAGTTTATAAAAAGTAGAATAAAGCCAGCATGGGTATTTGCATTGTCTTATTACATTCTAACCACAGACTTCACCTGTTTTTTATTTTCTCTCTTACATACAATGTCAAGAATACTTTTATATAAGATTCAAAGACTTTGATAATGGCAACATTAATATATAGCAGCCAAGGTGTCAAAGAAAATAAAGTGAGACAAAGCAGAGACAAAACATCAACATTTTTTTAGAACTTAAACTTCAACAACCAGAACATATACTGACTTAAAAATAATTCTACTCCCAGTAATTCAATAATATACAGTAAGCTAAGTAAAAAAGATTGCTAATGTGATCTTTATTAAATGTAAAGTTTTACAAAACTACAAAATAAAATCAGACATTAAGCATATTATAAAGAACTATGTACTGCTCCCCTTAACAAGGGATCCTTGTAATATGGGCCTAGAATCCCGAATGCTACATTGAAGCTTTCTTTTAGTATGTGAAAGTCCCATAGGATGCGAAGTTGCAGCATTCCACAAACATGTGGAAAGCTCTTCTGTTACTTTTAACAAGATAAAACTATTTAACTGGTTATCTAAAAATGCAACTCTATAAGGCTTAGAACATCTTTTACAATAATTTACAAAATTGCTTTCAATATGCACACAAAAGTCGTTAACTCACTCTTAGGTTTGACTTGCAATATAGGTCAAAAAGATATTCAAGTAGACAAATACAAGTTTAAAGGGAAGGTTTAATTCCAAAGACTCCATTTCTATGCATGTGGAAGTATAACTTTGGTTTCATTTACAGGTATGTATTTATAAAATCTAAATTATAGGATCTTAATCTGAGATTCACAAAGGTTTAGTGCTAAAACATGGCATTTTTTTAAACACAACTATTTGCTGTGATTAACATAAAAAACACAGGATTCCAGGACCTCTTACTGTGAAGACTATAATTTATCATTCCATCAGCAAACAATGGCATAGGCTGAAACCGATAGGTGACGTCCACCACAAAGGACACACAGGAAACTTTGCTAGAGATATTAAGTCAGCACAGAAATTTACTTATCAAGAATGTGTTGACAGAAATCTAAAAACAGCTGTTAAAAAAACTACTTTTCACCCCAAATGAAACTATAAAAACTAAAGATTTATCAAAGTTTGTGTATTAATTACAATTATAAAGAGAATGGAAAATAGGGGCAAATTCTACAGCTCTTAAAATCTCTTGTGAGTGACTAAATAAAAAAAAAATCAACTGAAAGTACTCAGCTCTGCATATTAACTTGCCAATACTTGAAGCCACATGTGACCAGAAAGGTCAAGGGTCACACTAGAATCTTTTGACCCATGGAACTATCCATTTCAGTCTCCAGGCAAAGCTCTGTAGGAGATCATTTTACATAGATATATCAATCATATTCTTCAAGTTCAGCATTCTACCTGCTTCGCTTGAAAGAAGACAGGTGTTCAACCTCAAGGCAAATGAAACTCCAAGTGTGTTATCTGTAACTACCCACAGTTAAAATGGACAAACAACTGTCCATTCATCTCTTCTGAAAGAGCTATGTTATGCTTATTCTCGTCTTCCCAAGAATGGTATGCATATGTCACTGTTGCAACATCTTAGGTGCAACAATGAGATGAGGTCATGACAGCCAATCAGAAGTCACTAGTGAAGCGTTAAAGTAAACATAGCTGTTGGAGCTGCAGCTCTGCTTGGAAAATGTCCCCTCTATTATTTCTGCAATTTTCTCAAGACGTGACCTGGCACTGAAATGCCCGAAATGTCACTTGACTCCCTTTTGTGCTTCTCAAGATGCATTAAGGTGCACCCTCCAAATATTTTATAAAATATTCATCAGGATTATCCTTCAATTGGCAGTTTCACGGATTTTCATGCTATATGCATGATATAAAATAACTGTAATATGGACCAACATAGATTATCCTAGATAAGTCTCCTACTTCAAATAGATCATCAAGTTAGTCAGTGAAAGAAAACATGCCACAAAAAGTTTTCAGAGGACCACCTGTTGTCTATTATTTTTACATAGCACTTACTCATAAATCATAACACAGGGTAATTAATCAAGCTGTCAAAGAGAAGGTCAAAGGTTATATGGTAGAGTCAGAAGGTCACGCATGGGCTGATAGAGGTCAGGGTCACACTGCATTCCTCATTATCAAGTTG